CTACCCAGCATAAGCCAGCTGTGAAGCAATGCACGTTGCCCTGGGGACTTGGGCCAGCTGCAATTTGTTAAGTAATTTTCAGATTACAAAGGGCCTGGCCTTTCATATGCAAAAGCCTCAGTGCGCGGCTTGGGCGGGGCGAGGTCCCAGGGGATCAACAGGGCTGTGCGATCAGTTATGGCTGCTCTCAGTCCTGCCCTCAGAGGCCCCGGCAATCAAATCGCTGCTAGCACCTCCGAGAGAAAGCTGCCCTCGAGTTCCAACCAATGCCAGACATTCCCGTTTCTCCTGTATGAGTCTGGGTCCTCAGAGACTTGCGCACCGCACCTCCTCTGAGTCTTGGTATGCTTTTCTCTTTCCTTCTAGTTGTAGAATTTCCACTCAGCCAGCCTTCCTGTGGTTCTGGATGATGTCCGTTCCATCTTTTAGTTGTATTTTTGAAGTGGTTGTGTGAGGCAGCAATCCCCGGTGTTTACCTATGCCGCCATCTTGGTTTTTTCTCCTCTATTCTAGTTGAATCTTTTGATATGTTAGTAACATTATACTTTCCCCAAACTACCATAATCCTCTAAACTTGACATACTAGTAGCTTTTCAGACGTTCAGCCTCAGCTAACCATTTACTAACTTTGTTAGGGGAGATTACCATATTTATAGGTGACCAATTTAATCGCTTATTGAGTTTTGTAGCTCTCACAAATTTCACTCTAGATGAGTAACATTTTCTAATTTGAAATTGAGGAGGGGTTAGTTACTGTATTGTGCTTTTCCTTACTATTTTTCACCTTGTTATTAACTATAAGTTTTTTTCTATCTGTTTCAGGACATACTGTAATTCTGAATCATGTCTGATAACGGAGAACTGGAAGACAAGCCTCCGGCGCCTCCTGTGAGAATGAGCAGTACCATTTTTAGCACTGGAGGCAAAGACCCTTTGTCAGCTAATCACAGTTTGAAACCTTTGCCCTCTGTCCCAGAGGAAAAAAAGCCCAGAAATAAAATCATCTCTATATTCTCAAGCACAGAGAAAGGTAAATAGTACTGTGACTTCAAGAGTCTGTTATTATTTTGTTACCCATTTGATATCTCTTTAATTAAAGTATAATGTTGATTTTTCTTTTTTATGGTGAGAACAATAAACATCCAAGAAAACAATTGGTGGTGGTATATAGGCACTATTAGAAAGACTAGTTTATTTTAAACTATGATAGAAAAGAATAAAACTAAAGTTGTTGCTCAACAAGCTTGTATGTCCAGTGATTTTCTGTACTCATCTCTTCATTTTCATTCGGGCTATAGTCGTGGCTCCCCAACATAAATAAAATCTATGATATTTGAGAAAGATCTGCTGTTATAAGAATTGTGATAGTCTACAGTACCATGTTTAAAATCCCTGGAGCCAACTTTGTTTTGGAATTGAGAGGTTTTCTGATTTTGAGAGCAGTAGTAATGCTGTTTTGTTTTGTTTTTTACCATGTGTGCTATAATGCCCTCAGAAGCATCTGAGGAGCACTCAGCAATCAATGTGTGAACGTATCTTTGGCAAACATGAGTCTAGCCCACAGTTTCTCAACCTCATTATGATTGCACAGTGAAAGAGTTGTGTCATGAAACTTTTGTTTCAGTGATGTGTATACAGACATACCTTTTTATTGTGTTTCCCAGATAACCATGTTTTTGGTTTTTTTATTTAGAAATTGAAGGTTTGCTCTCTCCCTCCCTCCCTCCCTTCCTCCCTCCTTCTCTCCCTCCCTCTCTCCTTCTCTCCCTCTCTTTCTCCTTCTGCCCTCTCTCTCTCTCCCTTTCCCTCTCTCCCTCTGTCTTTCTCTCTCCCTGTCCCCCTGTCCCCCTCTTCCTCTCTCCCATTCCCTCTTTCTCTAAAATAAAATAAAAAATAATAAATTGAAGGTTTGTGGTAACCTTGCATTGAGCCACTCTATCAGCACCATTTTTCCAACATTTGCTCATTTCATGTCTATGTGTCACATTTTGGTAAGTCTCACAATATTTCAAATGTTTTTATTATTTTATTTGTTATAGTAATTTGTGATTGGTGGTCTTTGATGTTACTAACGTAATCGTTTCGGGGCACTACAAAGCACACTTACAAACCACACCTATGTAAGATATCAAACTTAATAGATAAACGTTGTGTGTGTTTTAACTGATCCAATGACTGGTCATTTCCCCATTTCTCTCCCTCTCTTTGGGCCTGCCTATTTCCTGAGACAACAATATTGAAATCAGGCCAATTAATAACTTTACAATGGCCTCTAAGTGTTCAAATGAAAGGAAGAGTTGCATATTTGTTACTTGAAATCAAAAGCTAGAAATGACTAAGTTTAGTGGGGAAAGCTGAGATAGGAATAAAGCTAGGCCTCTTGCACCAAACAGCCAAGTTCTTGAAGGAAATTAAAAGTTCAATTCCAGTGAACGTACGAATGATAAAAGCAGGACAGTCTTATTGCTGATATGGAGAGTTTTAGTGGTCTGGATAGAAGATCAAACTCGGCACAGCATTTCCTTAAGCCAAAGCCTAATCCAGAGCAAGGCTCTAACTTTCTTCACTTCTATGAGAGCTGAGAGAGGTGAGGAAGCTGCAGAAGAAAAGTTGGAATCTAGCAGCGATTGGTACATGAGAAAGAGGTGTCTCCATAACAAACTGCAAGGTGAAGCAGGAAGTACTGATGTGGAAGCTCCTGAAAATTTATAAAGGTGGCTACGCTAAACAACAGATCTTCAATGTAAATGAAACAGCCTTTATATTGGAAGAAGATGCCATGTTAGGACTTTCATAGTAGTGAGAAGTCATTGCCTGGCTTCAAAGCTTCAAAGAACAGGCTGACTCTCTTGTTAGGGACTAATGCAGCTAGTGACTTTAAGTTGAAGCCAGTGCTCCCTTACCATTTCACTTCCTAGGGTCCTTAAGAATTGTGTGCTCTATAAATGGTACAACAAAGGCTGGATGACAGCACACCTGTTGACAACATGGTTTACTGAATATTTTAAGCCCACTATTGATATCTACTGCTAAGGAAAAAAGATTCCTTTCAAAATACCACTGCTCATTGATAGTACACCTGGTCAACCCAAAGCTCTGATGGAGATGTGCAGCAGGATTAATGTTTTCATGTTTGCTAACACAGCATCCATTCTGCAGCTCATAGATCTAAGAGTAGTTTTGACTTTCAAGTCTTATGCGTTAAGAAATAAAAATTTTTACCAATATATTTTTATTGATTTCAGAGAGGAAGGGAGAGGGAGAAAGAGATAGAAACATCAATGATGAGAGAAAATCATCAATTAGCTGCCTTATGCCCCAGACTAGGGATCAATCTTGCAACCCAGGCATGTGCCCTGACCGGGAATCGAACCGAGTCCTCCTGGTTCACAGATCGATGCTCAACCACTGAGCCACGCCAGATGGGCAACAGATACATTTTGGAAGACTGTATCTGCCATCGATAATAAGTCCTCTGATGGATCTGGGCAAATAAATTGAAAACCTTCTGGAAAGGACTCACCATTCTA